GTATCGCGGCGTTAATCGGATTTTCCGAACGCTAATCACGTTTGCGCATAAATATAGATCTTACCGACGTTCTCTCTCCTCACGTGTGTCGTAAATATATATTCGCCATGATTTTTAATAAGCCGTTTTCCCTCCCCCATCCCCCGCGCACCCGTCTCTTCGCTTGTAAAAAAGTAATTTAATTAAGCTCGTACACTTGAGTGCGAGGGACGCAAGGTATAGGTTCTCGTTAAAACCGGATACGGATCACGAATTACGCAACTATCTGCGGCGGCAGGAATTCGCGCTGCACCTGCGAAACGCGATGTCATCAGACGTCATCAGCAAAATTCTTTTAGCCGGACGTGTACGCCTATTACGGAGAAGGAAGATTCCGCCGCGTGCCACGGTGATTTTAACATTTTCTTTCGAACACTCGATATACCGCGTGCGTTTTTATTACACGCGCGCAATATAACGCCTCCGTCTCGAGACTCCCCGTTCCCGGAAAGCACGCGCATCGCGCGCGCGAGAGAGAAAGAGAGAGAGAGAAAGAGAGGATGCAATTGATATATGATAGCAAGACCTCTCTCCGATCCGGTCTTGTTAAATATAAATCGCGAGTTACGTGCGACGAATTAAGCACGAGCAGGTATATGTTTTCCTTTCGTCGTTGCACCTGTGTCTCCTTTTATATTCCACGCGCGCGTTACGCCGCGTGTAGAAAATAATGGACTTCTTTTTTGCAAGAGCGTGCTCTCCGGATACGGTAAAACGATAACGTCGCGCCGAGTCGCGTGTGTAGCGGACGTAATCCAGCGGCGTAGCGTCAATCCAGGACGAAAGTGTGCTGCATGTGTTGCCACGACGATCTTCGATTGTTCCGCGCCCGAGCACTGTGGGGAGCCTTTTAACGGTATTCGAATTTTTTTTCTTTTTTTTTAACGCGTATACGGGTATCGCGGAAACGCACATTGGCGAATATAAGGATGGAGAAATGCGTGTGTGCGGGAATATTGTTTCGACACCGCGCACCGGGTGTCGAAAAAACGCGACACACAGGAGAGCGGAGACCGTGGACTCGTAGACCGTGGAAGAAAAAAAAAGAGCGTAACCGGGGATACGAACATTGTCGAAAAGCGCGCCGGGGCCAACGTCCGGCGGGGCGGGGCGGGAAGGCGATTTCTAGGATGGATCAATATGTATGGTAATGCGGTCGACTGTGCAGGTTCTACACATCAACATCGTCGGCCTACGTGCACACGCGCGTCCGTAACTGTATTATGTATGCGCGCGGTACGTAGTACGTGACTTTTCATATACGTATAATAAACATGTTACGTCGCGCGGCCTACGGAATACTCATACACACAGGCGTAACGTAGACACGTGCACACGTATTTATCCGGCCTGTATTAACCGGCGTCGAGGTATTAAGATAAGAGGTCGGTGTAGTTACGACAGTCAGCAGGTTTTGCCCGCGGGACGGATATCACGCGGTGCGGCATGACAAAGCGAAAGATTTCTTTTTAATTAGGGGATATACATAAAAAATAAGCTTTCGCTGTCCTGCTCCGTCTAATCAGTCCGTCAAGAGGATATACGTATCCAATTCTTACTCTTATTATTTTTAAATCAATTCACGGAAGGAACGATTTTGTTGAAAGATCTCAAAATTTTGCCACAAACAGGTCTGAAAATAATTTTTTGTTGAATTATCAAAATAATTTGTTGTAATGTTAAAATTGATAAGCATTGCTATAAAATATTTTAGTATTCTAGCAATCTTTGACTTTCGCACAAAATTATTTTGAATATTGAACAAAAATTATTTTCAGATCTGGATTCAGTAAAATTGTTCTTTCCGTGAATATTTACGTCTTGCTTCTATTTTTTCTCAAACATCTATTGCTCGCAAAAACGTGTATATGTGCGTATGTGTGGTGTGTGGGGGGGGGGGGGGAATATATCAGTGAATTCGTGTGGGTACGGTAAACCCAATTGATTATGCGGATCAGTTATCTCTGCGAGACAAGACAAAAAAAAGTTTATCGATACGGCGCCATCGATAGCCTAATAATGTGTGCAATGCAAAGATAGAGCGGCTTAATAAAGTTAGATGTTCAAATAAACTTATTTTTTTTTAATAAAAAACTCATTCGCAATCTTTTTTTTTCCGGAAAGGTACTTCGAAGAGTCGTGTGGCTAAAAGCGAATAAATATTTCTTAAATAAATTCACAAATGCATTCTTAATTTTATTCTGCACCCATAAGGAGTATCGAATACGCTTCATTATGTATTAGGACACGAATATCCCGACACGCAGCTGCAATGATGTCGGCGATAAAAATTTATGAAGTATTAAAGAGAAAAGCCCAATATGGTCACAACTGCGATCCCGAAGCACACCATCTTATAGATAAATTAGAGGGGGATATTTAGCTCCATCGAATTTTCATGATGCGCAGTCGGGACGGCAGACAATTAGTAACCCAGGTAACTAAGACATTTCCGGCCCCATTGGGACCGAAAATCGAAGTCTACTTTAATGTGTAACGAAACGCCGCATACTCGACGAACTTATAAAGTTAAAAGCGCTTCAAAGTAAATTTTTAAGAGATTCGCAGCTCCATTAATTATATATCCGCGACGAGACGCGATGACACATTCAATTTTTGTCTCATTTAAAAGGCAAGAGCAAAGAGAGTCGCAAACGAATTAAAAACAAGGATTATGAGCTTCTTCAAGATAAACTCATATCTCAAGTAAACTCGATAATTCGACTTCAATTAATTTGCGCACCCTGTTATATACTTCTATGAAATTATTAGTTTTATAGAAGTTTGATATAATTAAGGGAGTTATAGTTCTCTCTCTCTCTCTCTCTCTCTCTCTTGCCTAAAGTTCTGAAATTCCTAATACGTTTTAAAAGAAGTTCCGAGCAATAATTATCAATTATTGTATATATAAATTGTCACGTAGTATAATAATAAGATATTTAAATGCATTCTCTCTCTCTCTCTCCCTTTCTCTCTTTCTGTCTGTGGGAATATTCGATACGAAACATAATTCGAATTTCATTCAGCCGATGCCGATAAATATGTATGTGTTACACGCACGTTGCGTGTGTGCAAATGCGGGGTCTCATTTCGGCTCTCAAAATGCATGATAGAGTTAATTAGCCTATTCGCGCTTGTCCCATGATTATTCCGGGTGAAAAGTCTCTGACCGAGATACCGAGGAAGCATGTTTGCTTCTTTCCGTTCGTTAATGCCGGCGTATAATAACCACGTCCGTTAAAGCAGCAGTCGATTAATTTCGACCTTAGGAGACGAGATTTCCCGGATACATATTATTGCGCATGTCGATGTATCGTTAATGAGCTATAAAAAGGACATAAATGCCTTCGTATAGCTTTGTATAGCTATTAAATAAATTTTTACAGACCGTAGCTAAAAATATATACTATTTATATAATTCTCTAAATAATATATGTAAAAACATTCAAAATGTTATAAAAATGTTATAGCACTTAATTACTATGTGTAATGAGATGTATCGCTAAAGAGCTTTTAAATATATTTTTCTCTTTGAAATATTATACATATATATTTGCCAAATTTAAAAACTCTCACGTTTATATGTTGCAACGGCAATAATAATATTTTTGGCTTAACGTTCTTAAATTGTGATAGCGCTCTTACGCGAGTCCACACCATGAAAACATAAAAAGCCCCAATCTCGACCAGTGAGAAGATAAGTGTCGCATTCTGCGACCGCTTTATGCACTCACGACAAGTTTTACGCGGATCCGAGACTGGCACGTGGGGATATCCTTTTAGACATGCCCGGAGAATGAAATCCGAAACGCCCCGTGAGAGAAGCGTGGCAATTTACTTTTGGATTCTCGCGACGTTACGAAAATAAATCTGTCTCTCTCGCACTCGCGCGCGCGCGGCCATGCATTCCCGGTAAACCTTTGTGGTGTTGATGACGAATACCACGAGGAGAAATTACACCGGGACATCTTTACGATCGAAACCCTGGCGCGCGCGCGGGACTGAGGATCAACGACACGAACGAACGGCGAACACGGACGCGCGCCGCACATGTACAGAGATTTAATTAAAGTGTGCCTTGATGCATTTATCAACCCTCCTTCCTGGAAGCAATACAATTCCGCTTAAGAAAATTCGTTTTGCGCGTTTCCTTGGCGAGACCCATCGTCCACGGGATATCGCGGGGCAAAATAAGGCGATCCGTCGGCCGTGATACCAATACACGCCTCGAAAAAGGGTAAGACGACTCTTTGACCGCGCGTATCGCGCTCCGATATCTTCGCGAAACGTTCGTAAAATTGCTGCAAGGAGCGCTGCGCTGAAACAGTGTGGCGCTAAAAATGTTAACGAGCTCGAACGAGTCCGCATATTTTCGCGGCCGTGCGAGAACGAGAGAGGCAGACGGGTTAGCGTTTTACATAACGATTTACGGGCACCGATATACCAACGATTTACAAGCACGGAATCCGCAGCTCGTGCTCGCGCTCGCGCCTCGCGAGTGAACCTGTTAAGCGTTCGCGCGAGAGGGCAAAAAGCCGCGACGACGGGCGGCGGCGCGCGGCGCGGCGCTCGCGCTAAATCAAAAACAGAATTTTTGCCGCGCGGCTCTCGACTCGGCTATACGGGAGCAAAGTACAGGTTGCGGGGCCAGTTCCTTCCCCGGTGGTGATTACGATGAAGAAAGAGGAAGTGAACGTCGCGCGGAGGAGGGCCGCGCGCGTTTCCCCGATTGCCGCCGCGGCAGGAAGGTAGGCGCGCATACCTCTCTTGCGCTGGAGGGATATTACGTAACTATAAATTTTAATTAAATCCGCGGGACCGCACGCGGCTCTCCTCCCTCCGGTGATCGTCTTCTGGCAATAAACGTAACGCGGGACGTACGTATACCCGCGTGCGGGTGGGAGGCGCGAGGGGGATACAGGGAAAGAGGAAAGAGGGATTAACAACTAGTTTTCACTCACCATGTAGCTGCGCCAGCGACTGCAACGTGTTGGCGGTGTTGCAGTTTATGAATCCTGGAACAGAAATAGAGAATGCACCGTTAGCAAAAATAGTTGTTATTGTTTCAATATTAATGTTATTTAGTCAATAAGGTGGGGAAAAAGCTGATTGCGATAGGACGTTAAAAAGTACTATCCATGTAAGATACTTAAAATTTTTGAGATAATATTATGGTAAGACATAAAATTGACAATTAAAATAGAGTTACTCTATTTTTCTTGCGTCTGATTAACATTATATTAATCACATTAGGATAATGGTTTGTTTCTCAATTTATTTTTAAATCTTTTAGTTAAACGTGCAAAATCATCGAGATTATATTATGCAATGAAATTCCTATAATACTAATTTATTCAAGGTTTTTAAATTCGCAAAATAAAGTAACGTGTAACACCGACTATATGTAACTGTGCGTAACTTATGCAGTAGTAAAAGCAATTGGAGGCAAAAATTTACTGAAAATTAATTAATTAATTCAGATGAAATTGTAGAATACAGCGTGTAAACACACAGCTGTAATTGCGTATGATACGTCGCGCAATTAAATTGTAAATGACACAAACACACTGGCAGAGCTACCCGAAAATTTATTCGGAATGGATTAATTAATTTGCCGCGTTATCAGAGACGTGTCATTATCCCGGAGCAAAAAATAACATCCTAGAATTGATACCCGATTCGATATACCTTTCACTGTCCTTAATAACACGTCCGTTCCCTCGCTTTCGAAATTAAGAAAAATTATATACGATCGCGCGTTAATGTCGTCACAAATGAAAAATGTTACAGAACACGTGATCTTCACTTCTAAACAATGTCGTGTCAAGTTACACGCGTGCGTACGCGCACACATAGGCGCGTATACGGACACGTCGTGAGCATCGATACCACACCATACACACGCCTCGTCGAACATTCCCATGACATAAGATAACCTCTGAACTTAAAGCCCTCGGTCCGACCGGTCGAGTCCCCAGCCCCGCGCGAGCGCCCATGATAGAACATTGTGATTTAGAACGTCGAAACGCGCGCGCATCGCGCCATCGTATTTCCACACCTCCGACGACCTTCCGCTTTCTTCGCACGGCACGCGGCGCCTCGCTTCCTTTATTTCCTCCTGCACTTATCGCGCGCGCACGCGGTACTTTAGCTCTTAATTTTAATAAGATTTTGCATTCCCTTCGAGGGTAAATGTAGACTATAAACAAAATTGAGAAGGCTGTGAGCTCTAAACGACGAGCGGTGATAGATCAATCTGTGATAGGTAATATGTACACGGAGAGAATTTTATTTTAAAATTTACCCTGAAAATCATGTTAATCGTAGAATAAGATAGTATTTCGACGAATTTAATGTGATTTTCACTATATTTTTTTTTTAGTATACACTACAACAAATTGATTGTAGTGTACAGTAAAATTTGCCGAAATACTATGTTGTCCCACGATTAACATGATTTTCAGGGTAAATTTTAAAAGGAAATTCTCTTCGTGTAGCGATAAGCACATAGGAAAGTATAGAGAGATAGGTACAAAGTATGATGGATGAATGGTAAGAATTTTTTGTAAACCAAGTCCCCTTTTTGGCTGTAATATGCTAAAGTGAATAAATATTCTTCTTCATTCCCTTCGAGCCGAGTGAGAGCGCAACGTTAACGGGCGACGACTTTCACACCAATTAGCGCGAACTTGTCCGTTTTGCGAAGGAATCTCGAGCGAGACCGGTATCGCCGTGTCGTCAGACGACTTTACCAGACAGCTTATCGAATCGAGACTTTTCGGAGCCCGGATATTTCACACTTTTACGAGTTCTTGAGGCTCCCTATAAATCAGCCAAGTGTGTACGAGACTTATTGCAATTTCGATCATTAACCAATATCTCCTATGTCTTACAATAAATTTGTAATTAGTTGACAGGTGAAAAGAACTCGAAACACAATATCAAACGTTAAAATTACCACCGAAACTTTTTATTTTCAGACACTCGCCAGAAGCGTAGCGATATAGCTTCGTCCTATTTTCTAGTAGTTCAATATATATAATCAACGCCCAATATAAAATATCTAATAGACGAGGCTTTACGAACGGGAATGTATACAGTTTCTGTTTACCCCGTCTCGCGCGATAAGATTAGCGTGATCCGAGAAACGTGGGATTCCTCGACATATGCGGAATGTCTCGCGAGTAACGACCGGGATTACGATTGCGAGTTGTACGTACCGGGTAGGCGTGTATAATCGTGTTAAACGGCGCCGTTCTGGGAACCGATCTGGGAATGTTCCACTTGGCGATTCGTGCGTATTACTACCGTAACTCCACCACCCTAATCATCTGCCCGGCCAGTGTAAATAAGAACGAACCGATCGCTGCGGCGAAGACCGCGGCGTTCAGTGTTATCTCGTCTTTGAGGATCTGGTCACGCAACATCGCGTACAATGTAATTCTTCCTATCCAATTGCCTTCCCCCCCCCTCCCTCTTCCTTGTTCGAAGTATTTTTAAGATCGTAAGCGCCGAGAGCTTAGCATTGCGAACCAGTTAGCCAATTTTCTGATTAGAACACTCTAGAACATACACATACTTCGTTTCTTTTAAGACAAATATGCTCTGAAAATTTTATCGCGAAACTAAATCAATGGAAGTAATTTCTTAAAATTCGACTTAAATGACATTGTATTGTATGAGCCTTCGGCTTCACAGCGAGACATTATCGTGAAGAATCTTTGACAACCGTCGTTGTGACGGATTTGTCATTCATGTTTTGGTCATTTTGGCCTCCTTCAGTATCGAAATAAATACGGGAAATTAATGATATATTATAATTCGATCAATGTAGGAACGCCTCTGTCAACTTCTCTGTCAGACGTCCTCCCGTTACGTACCTAATGAATAGGTGACACGGGTCCTTACAACACTTGGGTTGACAGGACATTTTTTCACCTTACGTTCGAAGAAGAATTAATGCCGACGCGTGAAACATCCACGAGAGAAAGGGAATACTCAGATTGATAACAGGGAATCAAATGTTCGCCAACGACTTTTCGCATCCGTTCCATCCACACTTGATCCGGTATTAATGATCTAAAGCTGAAGAAGAGACCTCGTCACATAATCGATCCTAATTTGAATTCTAAGGCTGCCCTCGGCACATGCACTACGAATGTAGTACGTACGTTGCGCGTGCCTGACAGTGTTTTCTTCTGCAAAGACCGTGGCATCGTGACTAATTTTCTACACCGTTACAATAATAGCAAGCGCAAGCGCAAAAACGTTTTCCGCGCGTCCGGTCGACGAACTTACGCATGGCAAATAAAGTAGCGATATCATTTCACGTCGCGTGCGCCACGGTAACAGTTATTAGGAGAATTATCGAGACGCCGCAATCGCTTTTCATTCTTAAGTATCTTGAAAGCATAAAAATATAAACAGCACGAGAGAGTATAAAATATACATAACGAGACCTTATGCCTTGATTATTCTTATCTGTTTAGTTCTTATCCCTAATTTTTACAACAACGGTATTTTTAACAGTATCGATTTCTTTCTCTCTCTTTCTCAAGAAAGAAAGAAAACGGAGTTTATTTTAATATAGTTTTAATTTTCGCGTGATGTTCTCCAATAAAGATATTTCGACACGGGTTTACGAAATAATGTGAGATAATCAAATTTCCCGTAAGAAAGTCGCCTCCTACCGCGTTTATCAGACAATCAGAGGTGCTGTCATTACCTGAGCGTCGACGATAAATATTGATTGTCTGGGAGTCGCCTGAATAAAGGCGCCTGTCAACGTGCGCGCGCTCAAAGGCAGCGAAGCCGAGTGAGCGCGCGAGCGGGGACTGTGGAGGAGCGTCGTTTTCACATTTTGCGAAATCGCGTCGCGTCTACGGCGCTCTTTAAAGGTTGATTCATCGCCGAAGAAGAGGACGACGAAGAAGAGATCCGCCTGCTCGTGCCGGCAATAACATTATCCCCCGTCAATTTGCTCCACGGGATTTTACTTTCACGGTGCGTCTATTCACGTATCGATCGCTATTATCGATGATCGAGTCAGCACGTGCGCGCATAAACCCGTTCACGCGGCACTAAGGAAAAAAAAATTATCGGAAAATCTAAATTAGACCTTCTCGTGAAATTGCAAAACAGTCGTCAGTGAGGTGTAAAAATTTATTTCATCAATATTTCCCATAACTGTTACTTATTACTCCGTATGTGCGTTTCGGCTAACACAAATATGCTTTCTCGGTATATACCTTATTTTATTGACACGAAAGCTATTGACTTTATCACGGCTATCGTTTCCTACTGACAGTTATCTCAACTTATACACGCGGGGGGAGGAGCGGGGCGTCGGTAGGATTCGCACAATTATCACCGAATCAATTCGCAATAGCAAATGGTATACATGGAAAAAATTGCTATGGATGTTACAACAATATTCTCTATGTTTGAAAAAGAAATGCATGTGAATTTAAGTTTTATTGATGTTGGCATACATCTGTTAATATGCTCATCAGTACGGTTGTCACAACTTTAGTGCTTATAGGAAAAATAACATTCGGTTAGAATATCTTCATATATGTGATTGCCTCAACCAAAGCATTATTGTTATGTCTCTAATGTGGTCTGCACAACAAATAGTATGATTGAGAGATATATATGTTATAGTTGCACATCACAATATTGAGGCTGAGAGTTCAGTTAACTATATATAAATGACTTCCAAAGTATTTTAGTTCCTATAACCCTTTTAAATTGATGGGCGAAAATTATCAGAATTATTATGTTGTGGCAACAGTAATTTCTTTTTCCGCGATAATAATTTTAGCATCTCGCAACTGGGTGTATCAAAGTGAAATCGCACGGGATAATAAACGTTTTATAAGTGTCGTAAATTTCGCGGCGTGCAGATGTTAATTGTTAATCCGCTAATCGGCGACTGTACTCGGTGACCGCGCGTCCTAAGACGCGCTTAATTACGAAATCTCGACGAGTGCCCCGGCTACAGAGACGGAGCGGT